AGTGGACTTGGGGTGGGGGGGGGAGGGATTGCATAACAATGAAAGTTTTTCTTTTCAAAGAGGAGAGTGAATGAGGGGAGGGAGAAGTAGGGAGAAAAGTGCAACAATGAATGGCTGGAAACCTTAAGTCTCTGTAAACATTAATTAAAATTAATTTAAAAAAACTAAAAATTTTCTCCAGAATTTTTCTTTGTTATACTTGGATCATTCCTCACCTGCTGAGGCTAAGTATTATCTGCTTACTCCTAGGGATTATAAAAACTATTGCCTATCTCTCAGGAAGTGGCCTGACTATGGGTAAAAAAGTGAGGTCGGTCATCTGTGGTGTGTCTCTAACCAAAACACTTCATGCCTGGGATGTGCACACGGTGAGTCTGGCTTGGGGCCCATTATAATAATTCTTGGGTCTTTCCCATTAGTCAGAAATACTGACAGGAAAATGAAAATCAGTCTGTGATAGAAACCTATTTTAAAATCAGGTCATCTAGTTTGTAAAATCTGTGACCAATTGATTTAGATCATAATAAACACATTGAGACCTCAGGTTTTTTAAAAATTTTAATGAACATTTACAGAGAATTTGGATTTCCATTCATTCACTGCTGCAATTCTCTACCCACCCAGCCCTCTCCCCCGAGACCTCAGTTTTTAATGTGCTTCTTACATGTAAAAGTGTACAAAGACAAATTTGCTATTGGCAGCTTGTGCATTTCACAAAGTCATTTCCATGTCCTGGTGTTGCACATCCCTGTTACCTCATCTATCACTTTATCAGCTTGTGCCATTTGCCACACTGGCTTTTTTCAGAAAGTGGCTTCTAAGTCAACTTATCTTCAAAGTGCACAAAGGTGTCATATCAGGACACGTGATGCAAGGAACAGGGTAGAGAGCTGGAAGAATCCAGTGTGAGTCTCAAAGTGTTATATTTTCTTTCCTCCTTACCACCGACCCCCCAAAATGTGTGGCAATAATCTCTCTCATTCAGAGTTGTTAGACCTATGATAAATACCCTTTTACAGGAGACGCCAAGAACATGAGACCAAAAGCTCTCTAATACATTGATTTAGGGATTTGCTTCAATTTCTTCTTTTTCTCTTGTTGTGTACCATCAAGTCAGACCAAACTGGAGCATCTAATGGATTTGACCCATGTACCTTTGGGATTGCAATGCAGTTTCTTGTCAATACACTGCCAGAACACTCTCTCTCTCTCTCTCTCTCTCTCTCTCTCTCTCTGTCTCTCTCTCTCTCTGTCTCTCTCTCTCTGTCTCTCTCTCTCTCTTCGCCCCTTCTCTCTCTCCCTCTCTTTTCCTTCTTTCCTCCCCTTTTCTTGTTCTGATAAGTTTCAGAGATTAGACCCTTGTTAGCTATTGGCAAACATTTCCCCCCTACTCTGTAGATTCTTTTTACTTTCAAAGAAGTATTTTGATGAGCTTACATATTATAATTCTTTGTTAATTATCTAGTTTACCACCTGCTGTTTATAATTTTTTAAACTCTTCTCTGGTAGTGTATTTATGCCATAAATTAGAACCTTTCTTTTCATGATCTTCATAATTTTAGCCTTTATTAGGTCTTTGATTCATAACCATTTTGTTTTTATGTATGTGCACCTAGATTCTTTGTTTACAGAAACTAAAATGATGACCTATTTTAAACAAACTGTGATGATTTGTTATACATTAACAAATAGCGCAACACAGGGAACTAAATAGAGTGCTAGAAATCAGAACAATAAATATGTGTGAAGAGGACCTAGAATACAAAATTATTTTTGAAGTGTTTAATGGTAGTTATACTGGTGTTCAGAGAGTTGGACAGTGACTAAGGAGGATAGAAGGAGAATGATGCCTTTGAGCTGTGGTGCTGGGGAAGAGTACCGAGAGTATACCATGGACTGCAAGGAAAACAGATTCTTCCTGGAAAAGTTTAAACTGGGAGGCTCCTTGGAGGCAAGGATTCTGAGGCTCCATCTAACATACTTTGGACATGTTGTAAGGAGGGACCGGTCCTTGGAGACGGACATCATGCTTGGTAGGGTGAAGGGACAGCACAGGAGGGGAAGGCCCTCTATGAGGTGAACTGATTCAGTGACTGGGGTAATCGGGATGGGTGTATCGGAGACAGTGTGATTGACACAGGACAGAGCAGAGTTTAGGGCTGTTGTACATAGGGTCTCTGTGAGCCGACTTGACAGCACATAACCATAACAAACATACTGGTGTTCAGTCTGCAAGAATTCATTAAACTTCACAGTTCTGGAGATATTATTTCCCCCTAGTTTTTTTTGGTTTTTATTGTGGGTTAAAAAAAAACGTATACTGATTTATTTACAATGTTTGAATATGTTGTTTTTCGCAAAAGATCCTTCCCATTTCCTCCACACACCCCCATCCATCGAATTGTACAACCCTGAGATTAATACCCCACCCCACTCCTGCCCATACTCATGCCTCTTCCACCCTTTCCCCACCTTGGATCCTCATTCCAAAATAATGGTTTTATACAGCATTTGTCCTTGTGGGACTGAGTTACTTCACTCAGCATAATGCTCTCCAATCCCTTCCAAGTTAGGTAGTAATTGACAAAATCATTGCTCCTGTGTCTACGTGGTATTCCATTGTATGAATATACCACAACTTCTCAATCCATTCATTTGTGGTTGGACATCTGAGCTGTTTCCATGTTCTTGTAATGGTGAATAATGAACATTGGTGTACAAATATCCATTAAAGCTTCAGTTCTCATTTTCTTGTTTTCCTCCATATTTGTATGGTGGTGGTTGTGTGCTGTTGAACTGGTACCAATTCATAACTGACCCTCCAGCAAGTTTTTTTTTTTCAGAGGCAGGAAATCACAAGGGAGGAGATGGCCCCTCCTTCTACTGGGGAGCAGCTGGCAGTTTAGAACCTGTATGCCTTGGGGATAACAGCACAGCTTTATACAACTAGGCCACTAGGGCTCCCTGTTTCTATGGTACCCTTGACAATAAAAAAAAGATAATCTAAAAGGGAATCTATTTCTTTCTTGTATGCTCTGTACAAGGTCAATGATAGAAGAAAAGATTTGATTATTAATACCTTCTTCTATGAACTAAAAAGGATGTTAAATCCATAGGAAATTGTTTTGGTAATTCAATGGTGGATCCTCCCTGGTTTAAATTCACCAGCAATTCTGAAGAAAGATGCACAATTTCCTCCCGTGGGATTTACAGCCTCTGAAAACCCACTGGACAGTCAGTCATGAGTTGGTTTCAACTACATGGCAGTGAGTTTGCAATTTTTTTTGTTAGTTCATATGTTTTCATATGTAATTTTGACAATAGTCCAATAGGAGCCATACTAGCATTGTACTACTTTTATATATAATAAAGCCACAGTGGTAACTTCAGTAAATGGTGCACTATTAGAAAATGGCAGAACTGAATTGAACCCAGGGAGTTGATGGTTTTTTATTTCCAATGTGTAATGAGTGTTTGCTGCATGTGTGCTTTCCACTAGTAATGGAAATACTTAAAAAAAAAAGTCTGTGCTCTCATTCAAGAAACAGAAATATGTATATATGTATATATGTGTGTGTGTGTGTGTGTATGTGTGTGTGTGTTTGTGTATGCATGGATATACATAACAGGAAGTAGGACAGATATTGAAGAAGCTTCCAAGTAAATGTGGGTCAAATGAAACTACATTCAGCTTTCCATAGAAGTTCCATGAGCACAAAGCATTCTCATTTTTCTTCTCCAGGGCACTCCGATCTGGGCAAGCCCAGAGCAAGAGCGATACATCATTTGTATGACAACCCTCCCTCAAAGGCATCTTGCATTCACTTTGGATTCAGATGGTACCCTCAAGGTGTGGAACTGTCAGGATAAAGATGCTTTGGGTACTGCAACCATATCTGGATGTGGTCTTTGCTTGGAAGCCTTTCTCACAAAGGATGGTCCAGTCCTGGTGGTAAGTGAATTCATCCATCTGAAAGGGACCTGGAAAACAAAACACTTTCTTTCTTCACAAGTAGCAAGTGCCACTTATTGTTAGAATCACAGACTGTCTTTTCAAATATGCATCTTCCACATATGTTGATGGTCAGGCCCAATGCATCAATAAATGTTGACCATGTAAACTTCCAGTCTATCTTGAATTTTGGTACCCATCTCGAGCACATTTCATCATTTCTTAAAAAATATTCCCTTGCATGGGAAGGGTGAAGGCACAGGGTTACACAGTTTTTGGTGGGTGGAGGGAAGGTGTAAAGAAAATGGGAAGGATCCAGAGGGGACCTGAAAAGACATTGTAATGATGGGCAAGGTCCAGTCATGATTAATTTTTATAAAGCAATGCATGCGAATGTTTTTATGAAACACAATGTGAATGAAGAATAGTGTGAAACACAATGCATGTGAACTTTGTGAGCAAACCAATATAAAATTTAAAACAGATACTCCCTCATTTATATCTATAGCCTCACTTTCAGTTGCACATTCTTACGTTGATCATGAGCAGTGACATTGGAGGGAGAAAAATGAACAGGGGAAGGGAGTAAAAAAATAGTGTGTCGATGTTCTAATGAACAGCGTTCACTGAGAAGAGTTATTTGGGGCTTAGAAACCCTTCTGCCATGGGATCATCACAACAATTTTTCTGAGTCAGACTGGGTAGAGGTCAAGATCTGTTATATGATGAAGAAACAGGGAGGTATCTTGCAGCTGCTGGTACTACTTCCTGTGTCCTCCTGGACTTTGCGACTTTTTCCACTGATGTGATTGTGATCCTGTGATTTCAGGTGGGTGATGATCTTGGTTACATCCACACGTTTACCGTGCCTGATTTAAGGAATATCTCTAGGATTAATGTATTTTCATCTAAAGTAAAACATCTAGTCTGCTCTCCTGACAGGAAATACATCATTGCAGTTCGATGTGACCATCGTACCTTTCCAGAGGTAGGTGACATGATTTATTCTTTAAGTACAGGGTGTCGAGCATCAGGTAGTCAAGTTAGAAAGTGTGACAGAAACTGAAGGGCTCTGTGAGGCACAAAATACATTGTTCCCTCTTCTCAGGCCATGTCACAAATGGAATTCATTCATTCAAAACCCCTGCCTCCCCAAAATATTCTTTCAAATGATAATTCCAGTTGCAAAGTAAACATTTACTAATCACAATTTGCTCAAGAAATCTTACTAAGAAAGATATCTTTTAAAAAATCAGAATATTGGTAATTCTGTTCCTATTTGAAAATTTATTCTTTTATTCACTTTAGCTCTAAATAATTACAGAAGTATCCAGAAGTTAATAAATATGCATCAGCCTCTGAATGCCACTCTGAGGAAATCATTGACCTTTGAAAATACCCTCGTTGACCTTAACCTGGTCCACATGGATTGGATCAGAGTACAAAGAGTTGAAAAGACAAGAAGCATAATCAAAACAGCCTTTGAATAGTTCTCCAATAAGCCACTCTTAGAGTAGCTAGTATGTCAAGATTTTGAAGCTCTGCGGGCATGCCTGGAGAGAAATTTTTGGGATTCCCATTCTGTGAATAAGACACCATATTTAGGAAGGTCCAGAGCTCCTTGTACTTGAGGGCAACTGACTACATCTGTTGTTGTTGTTGGGTACCCTCGAGTCATTTACAACTCCTAGAGCAACCCTATAAAAACGGATCTGATCCTTGTCCTATCCTGTACCATCCGGATAATTTCTGATACGATGATTGTTATAGTCACTGTGTCAATTTTATTGGGGTCATCTTCTCTTTCATTATCCCTCCACTTTTCCAAGTGTGATGTCCCTCTTCAAGGAATAACCTCTCCTAACAGCATGGCGAAAATATGTAAATATGTGAGATGAAGTTCATAGGATCTCTGAGTCATAGTCAACTCAATGATACATAACAATGATAAGAACATTCCTTACTTGTCACCTCCTCATTATCAAACATTTTGCATTTTGACAATATTACATGCAAGCAAATTTTACTGAAGATTATCCAAAAATTACTAGATCCGTACATAGATGGAGAACTGCCAGAAGTACAAGCAGAGTTTAGAAGAGTGGCACTAGCGATTCCACTACCAGTGTCAAATGGATCTTGGTTGAAAACAGCAGTACTAGAAATATGTCTACTTGTGTTTTGATTGACTATGCAAAAGCATTTGACTATGCAAAAGCATTTGACATGTGGATCACAACAAATTGTGATTAACATTGAGAAGAATGGGAATTCCAGAACACTTGATTATGATCATGTAAAACTTTAACCTAGATCAGGATGCTGTTGAACAGAGCAAGGGAATATTGCATGGTTTTAAAAATTGTCAGGGGTGTATACTTTCTCCACATTTTTTTTCAATCTATATGGAAAACAGATCATTCTTGAGGATGGATTTTATGAAGTACGTGGCTTAAGAATTGGAGGAAGACTCACCAACAAACTGTTAGGTAGATGATACAACCTTGACCACTGAAAATGAGAGCATAGTGTTTGCTGCAGAAGGTCAGTATGGATTGCACTTCAACAAGAAAAAAAAAGAGAAAAAAAGATCCTCACCAGTGGGCCAATTAGCAGTATCATGATGATGGATAAAAAATTGAGGTTGTTAACAATTTCATCTTGCTTGAATCCACAATCAACATTCTTGTTATCAGCAGTAAAGAAATCAAAAGATGGGTTGCTTTGGGAAAAATCTATCAAGGACCTCACCAGAATGCTAAAGAGCAACAATATAAGTCTAGAGACTAAAATGTGTGTGATCCAAGCTGTGGTCTTCTCGATTGCTTTCTATGTATCTGAGAGCTGAAGACAGCAGAAGAGAAGCCTTGAGTTGTGGTGTTGAAGAGTGCTGAATCTACTATGGACTGCCAAGAAAACAAAAAAGTCTGTCCTGGAGAGGGTGAAATAGTTTGCTCCTTGGAGGCAAGAATTTTGAAGCTCCATCTCCTATATTTTAGGCATGTTGCCAGGAAGGACCAGTCATATCAGAAGGACAGCATGTTTGGAAGAGTAGAGGGTCATCATAGAAGACAGTGAATAGGATGGATTGACACATGATGATGACAATGGGGTCAGTTGTGTCTGAGATGGAGAGTTTGGCTCAGGATAGGGCAAGGTTTGGAGCCATTGTTCACAGGGTAGCCACAAGTCATGATTGACTCTATGGCCCATAGCAAGAAACAGCTGTATGAAATACAGCTGGCAGTAACGTATATTGAGATGTGAGGTGAAGGTAAATTCGGCTGTGACGTTTGAGGTTATATGTCCTCTTCACTGGGCTATTAGTCTCATTGGTTTGGTAGTTATGTAATGATGTAATCTAGTAGGTACATAATGATAACATAATTTTCATATAATTTATATATATGTACATATATGTGTGTATACACACACACACACACACACACACACACATATATAAAATGACTTGGTGTTTAGAACCCAACCAGGTCATTAAGTGATAAATGCTTTACCCTTCTTGTAACTGCAATAAAGTTTGACCAAAGTTGAAGACAATAATGATAGTTTTCTGGAGTTTCTTCTGTACTAATATTCTCCAACTTTCACTTGACTATGTGTGCAATCATATCTCCTTAGGTATTGTTAACAGAGTGCTTACTGAGGCCATCAGAAGAAAAGTTCTTATCCACCCCTGTCCCCATTGACTGGTGTTGGGCAGTCTGCTGGGCTACAAGAAAACCCAACAGGATAACACTCATTAAAGGAGGCTTTAAGAAAAAATGTATCACTTTCGACTTTACAACTATGTGGACTGAAGGCCAATGTGAAATCTGTGGTAGGCTCTACTGCTTTAGCAACCCCTGTTTCTCCTTATTAGACATGCATTCAGAGTGAAATAAAATTTGTGCACATAGGTAAATCTATGTAGAGTTTGGGAATTTCCTTATCTAGAGGCCACTTAATATTTGTTTAATGCCCATTTTTCTGACCCATCTTCTCTATCCTGTTATCTTTCCTTATTTAGATTCTTATCATACTTTACACCTGGATTTCAATGCGTCTTCTCATTACAGACCTTCAATATTTAAGTTATTCTATTGTCCATGTCCTCCCCTCTATTCATTTTCTGTCTGAGTCATAACACCGTCCCCCGTGACATAGTAAGCATTTCTAAGGCCACTTGCTGAGCTTTCTTTTCTTTCTTTTTTTTTTTTTACAAATGGAAGAACTCTGGAAGTAAAGACTCGAACCTTACATTTTGTGTAATGGCACTGTTCTGACTAGTGTAAAAATTGTCTGCATCGATATGTGATTAATGTGTGTTGTCGTATTTTACATGCGGGGATAAAAGCACAGGAGGCTGCAAGATTCCAGTTACCAGTGGGTATGGCAACTCCTGAATGTATTGGATCCAATGACGGAAACACAGTTGTCTTTGCGAATTCCAGTCAGTTACTCCTCTGCACCATCAATGGCAGCGTGATTCATTGTTTTGAAGACCACAGTGCTCACATCTTACACTTATGGGTGGTACATGTCATACTTTTCCCTCTTGTGGGTAGTTTGTGTGTGTGTGTGTGTGTGTGTTTGTGAAAAACATGTATGGGGATGCAAGGTGGTGAGGATTGGGAGCAGAAGAGTGAGGATGGACATGGATGTGATCACAGAGCTGCACAACTTGATAGGTAGGGGGTTCCCTCTTGCTTTTATTGCCCTGAGTTTGGCTTCTCATCATTCATTCCTGAATGTTCTTTTTTTTTTTTTATTTCCATTCATTTATTGTTGCACTTTTCTCCCCTACCAACCCTCCCACCTAGTACACTACTCTCTTGGAAAAGTAAAAGAAAAATTCTTTCGTTGTTTTACAAACCCTCCCCCAGGTCCACTCCACTATGCAGCCTTCACTCTAGACTCCTGTCAGGACAAAAATACCTAATCACATATCCCTTGTAAATAGTTTTCTCCCTCATCTGTTTCAATGCAGTATACATTATTGTACCCATCTTTCTCAGTCTCCCCCCAACCCCGAGGTCGGTCCTGTTTTACAACAGTGGCACCATGCAATATTTGTCCTTTTGTGACTGAGAT